AATTCATGTTGCTCTTACCCAGTAAGACTCGTATGTAAGTTTTATAGAATCATGATATCAGCTGAAGCTCATCTTGTGTTCGGAGTCCACGCACAAGTTGATGGTCGTCATGAGGCGAGCCTTTCTACGACCAAGTAAGTCTTAGAAATAGCTCTTGGCTTACCGGCAGGACAGTCAGGTTTAGCGGAGGTAAGTTGGAGGCTCCTCCGGTATTACCCAGGCACATCATCGTCAAGGAATTTTCGACAGTGACGTGCTAGGGTAGTGTTGAAGAGTCGTGGAGTGAAATCCTATTTGGCCGCGATGTCCCTTTCGACAGTTTTTGAGTTGAATGGGGTTAGTTTTCGATTTCTGGCTCGCTTATCACCAAGATATCGGCAGGAGAAGTAGCATTTAATCATAGTTTTGAAAATTTTTTATTCTGTGCGACTGCTGGTGTGGTGTTGTTATGCTGTTAGTTTTAGCAAAATCGGTACAACGAATCGAGGAATCGGGCCCACGTACTCGTCGAAATGTTTCCGTAATGGCATACGAGTTGCGGACCTTTTGGGTGACTTCGAAGCCTTTTCCGAGAGGTACGAATGCTTCTGCATTGGTGACGTTCACCTGATATCATCGCAATCTTGCGGGACGTTGTCAGTAGGCGTGGAATGAGTCCACCCGTGACGCTTTCTACCGCTGAGTATTTTCTGCCTGAACCGGCCACTATTGTTAGAAAGCGCGGCATTGACGGTATCGTTCCATGTCATCTGATACTGCCCCGCTGATTACGACGATGTCAGCTATACATTAATGAAAAGGTCAATTTGCTACTATTCTTAGCTATCGTCGACTTGTGGATCATTATCGAAAACAGTTCCCAACGATCGATGTTGATACAGAAGCAGAACTGGCTCGATTTAAGGTAAGAGTTCAGAGTGCCGAATGATGGGCGAAAAATTTCTAAGGTAGAGGCACTTTTACTATGCAAAGGGTTCTGTAGCCGCGAAGGAGAGTTACAGAGTTTTGTTGTCTGTTTCAAAGAATAAACAGGTTGCCAAGGGATTTATGTGACCACTAAAGGGCGGCCGTGGTGGAGAAATCCTTAGCGAGGGGTCGTATTCAAGTAGCTAGGGAGGGGCTCGGCTAGGGCTAAAGAAGTTGCAGATAGGAGTCTGCACTAGTATGAGGCGGAAAATTGGATGGGGGATGATTGGGGACAGGGCACTTCTTACGCTGTCGATTCCCCAACGGTGGGGTCGCATTTGGTCGTTGCGGGGAGCGGAATCGTAATCGGCTTGAGAAAAGTTTCTTGGAAAATTGCGAGAAGTGAAGTAGGGAAAAGTCGGTACAGTTACCGTGGGTAGGATGAAGA